AGATGACCAAATCATTTGATACTTTGGTGTTCTATTAAATCATTTACCGGTACTGTCCCTCTATTGTTCCTAGTTTTACATTGGTGACTCTGTCCCACCTTGCCGCATTTTTGGTTTAGGGTACACTGCTCTGTGTAAGACCACGACGTGTTTCGGAGGTTGAACGGAGTATCAGGGGGGCAATGCTGCTGCTGTTTGGCTTGTTCTACTTTCTGGAAGTTATACGTGCCTAATTCAAGCTGTAAAGACAGGACACATGATTTGTACATTCAAAACACGATGCTAACATTGATATTGTTTATTGTGGAACAACAAAAAGTCTTTCCGTCGATGTCACAGCTCTCCCTAGTCGTTGACACGTGCTCACGACAGCCTCCCAAGACAAGGCGACAGTTAAACAATGGATGCAGTTACCTCCCAGCTAGAATGTTCCATTAGTTCGGGTTTTGGCATCTGAATCGCCAAAACACAAATGTTCTCAGACACTAGACGTTGTCATTCAGAATCAGTTCTCCTCAGACATTCGAGCTTTCAAAGCGACGTTCGTTCAGTTTACAATGACGTTCACCTCAGTCACACCATCAAGCAACCTACCTCACACACGGTCATGACGTTCACCTTAGTCCCACCATCAAACAACCTACCTCTCACACGGTCATGACGTTCACCTCAGTCCCACTATCAAACAACCTACCTCTCACACGGTCATGACGTTCACCTCAGTCCCACCATCAAACAACCTACCTCTCACACGGTCATGACGTTCACCTCAGTCACACCATCAAACAACCTACCTCTCACACGGTCATGACGTTCACCTCAGTCCCACCATCAAACAACCTACCTCACACACGGTCATGACGTTCACCTCAGTCACACCATCAAACAACCTACCTCACACACGGTCATGACGTTCACCTCAGTCCCACCATCAAACAACCTACCTCTCACAGCGACGTTCGTTCAGTTCACAATGACGTTCACCTCAGTCCCACCATCAAACAACCTACCTCTCACTCGGTCATGACGTTCACCTCAGTCCCACCATCAAACAACCTACCTCTCACACGGTCATGACGTTCACCTCAGTCCCACCATCAAACAACCTACCTCTCACACGGTCATGACGTTCACCTCAGTCCCACCATCAAACAACCTACCTCTCACACGGTCATGACGTTCACCTCAGTCCCACCATCAAACAACCTACCTCTCACACGGTCATGACGTTCACCTCAGTCACACCATCAAACAACCTACCTCTCACACGGTCATGACGTTCACCTCAGTCCCACCATCAAACAACCTACCTCTCACAGCGACGTTCGTTCAGTTCACAATGACGTTCACCTCAGTCCCACCATCAAACAACCTACCTCTCACACGGTCATGACGTTCACCTCAGTCCCACCATCAAACAACCTACCTCTCACACGGTCATGACGTTCACCTCAGTCCCACCATCAAACAACCTACCTCTCACACGGTCATGACGTTCACCTCAGTCCCACCATCAAACAACCTACCTCTCACACGGTCATGACGTTCACCTCAGTCCCACCATCAAACAACCTACCTCTCACACGGTCATGACGTTCACCTCAGTCCCACCATCAAACAACCTACCTCACACACGGTCATGACTTTCATCTCAGTCACACCATCAAACAACCTACCTCTCACACGGTCATGACGTTCACCTCAGTCCCACCATCAAACAACCTACCTCACACACGGTCATGACGTTCACCTCAGTCACACCATCAAACAACCTACATCACACACGGTCATGACGTTCACCTCAGTCACACCATCAAACAACCTACCTCACACATGGTCATGACGTTCACCTCAGTCCCACCATCAAACAACCTACCTCACACACGGTCATGACGTTCACCTCAGTCACACCATCAAACAACCTACCTCACACACGGTCATGACGTTCACCTCAGTCACACCATCAAACAACCTACCTCACACACGGTCATGACGTTCACCTCAGTCACACCATCAAACAACCTACCTCTCACGGTCAAAACACAACTGACTCTACACCCTCTATCCGTTTAAAATGTTCGTTCCAATCTCCACGCTTTTTCCTCACAGGTGCTCACTGAACAAGGGATACACTTTTCCAATGTGTCTTTTGTTTCCCTGGCCATCTGGCCTTGTCCCTCAATTGGGAAACTCTCTGGGGTTCCCTAGGAATTCCGATCATTGCAGGGAGTTGCCCTGTTGGATTAACATCACTCTGTGAGTCGAAAGGGGATGGGAGGGACATACTTTAAAAATTGAAGCTCAGAAGGGAAAACAGTCTGAGATCAACATTATAGATTAACAGAAACACATAACGTTAGTCTCCCTACGCCCCGCTCATATACGCACCAGCTCACTTCTGATTGGTACTTCCTGAACCTGGCACCTTGGCACAAGGGCAGACGGGTGTTCCGCGATACCGTTGATATCGCATGTTTTATATTTCAGCACTCCAACGCTTTTAACACTTCAAAAACACGGAGAATCTGGTCCTAACACAACCCCTATAGAGAGTGCTGCAACCTATGTCACAGGCATTTTCTTTCTGGGGATGAAAACGAAAATGCAAGACATCGCACAAAGCAAACAACAGAGCGGGACACACCCGTAACCTTAAGGAAAGTCAACCAGCCAACAAACTTGTGAATGAAAAGTGACCACCCCCGTGTGGGTTCCGGGGCCCCATTGTGGGGAAAACAAGAAAAGACCCACTGCCTCCCCAAAAGCATGTCATAAGAGTCGACTAATTGGGGAGCTTCCTTTGAAGTCGGAGTGCATCTGCCGGAGAGCAAGGAACAAACTGTCTGTATTCAAGAGAATGAGATCTGTAAAACTTATGCACACGCAACACTAAGGTTCTGGAGCAAGACTGCAGTTCAGTAGTAGACGAGCAACCAGAACTTTCCGCCAGAGTGTACAGCGAAGAAGAAGAAGAAGAAAAGTGACCACTCTTTTCGGGGATATTAACGTGAAAATAACCCATTCGCACAGTCCATAGCTTATAAATCTCCCCATTTACTCCCAAATTCATTCACTCACTCAATCACTCATCCTTGACCTCTTTCTCATCCAATCTCCTACCCATTAACCCAGAATCTGAGAACTAGCCTCGCGCTTTATAGCCCAAAAATAGCCCAACAGCCACTTGACTGGCCAGAATTCCGCTGCATCTATCAACCAGACTAGATATTTATGCAGCGAATGCGCACAGAAGTTTCGATTAAACAGCGAAAGGACGACAAATCTCGTATATTTATTTCCTACATGGCTCAATACAAATCTCCTAAATGTGTTTCCTATACAGCTCAAGAACACTCGATCTGTACGTTCTACGACATCATTTGCAGTTTTCTTCAAAGAATCTTGTGTTGTCTCCCATGTAATTCTAATATGGGAACTGCGTCACACAGGAATATTCATATCTCATCACTTGGTGAAGATGTTGCTCTTGTCTTCCCAATATGTTTGTAATTAACAGAGGCAAACAGAGAGACAGACAGACAAATGGACAGATAGATGGATAGACAGGCTGACACCTAACGCTAAAAAGGGACATGCAAACTAATAGACGAACGATATATTATTCTTTTTTCTTCAGGGTCACCGGCTGTAAACTTCGGCGGAAAGTTATGTTTGTTAGTCCCCTTCTCAACTGTAGTCATGCTCCAGAACCAGCGTTTTGAGTGCACATTAGTTTCACAGATCTGGCTTAGTCGTATGCTGACTGTCGGTTCCTTGCCTCTCAGGTGGATGTACCCCCAATACGAAGAAAACCACTAATTAATCGACTCTTAAGATATGCTTGCTAGGGAGCCAGTAGGTCTGTTATCCCCCTTCTCCCCTACCAACTCCCTCTCTCCCCACAATAGGGCCCCAGAACCTTAGCGGGAAGACGGACGTTAGTTGGAAAAGATGTAGTGTTATTTATGGTAGCCGCGGCCACAAAAATATTAATAGTTGTAGTATTATCGGTAGTAGTAGTAGTTGTTGTTGTGGCAACAGCAGCGGCAGCTGTAATAGTTAAAGAAGTAGCATCACTCGTGAGAGTAGTAGTAGCAGCAGTAGTAGTACTAGTAATAATAGTAGTAGAAGATTCAGAAGCACCAGCAGTAGCAGCAGCAGAGGTAGTAGAAGATTATTCTTGTTTTTGTAACAGCAGCATCGGCAGTAGCAGCTGCAATAGTTAAAAAATAATTAATATTATTCATACAAGCGCAGCAGCATCACTAGAAGAGGCATCAAAAGCAACAGCAGTAGAAGAGGTATCATATACAGCAGTAGTAGAAGAGGCATCAAAAGAAGCAATAGTAGAAAAGGCATCAAAAAGAAGCAGCAGTAGAAAAGGCAACAAAAGCAGCAGCAGTAGAAAAGGCATCAAAAGAAGCAATAGTAGAAAAGGCATAAAAAAGAAGCAGCAGTAGAAAAGGCAACAAAAGAAGCAGCAGTAGAAAAGGCATCAAAAGAAGCAGCAGTAGAAAAGGCATCAAAAGAAGCAGCAGTAGTAGAAGAGGCACCAAAAGAAGCAGCAGTAGTAGAAGAGGCACCAAAAGAAGCAGCAGTAGTAGAAGAGGCACCAAAAGAAGCAGCATTAGTAGAAGAGGCATCAAAAGAAGCAGCACTATTAGAAGAGGTATCAAAAGCAGCAGCAGTAGAAGAGGCATCAAAAGAAGCAGCAGCAGTAGAAGAGGTATCAAAAGAAGCAGCAGTGGTAGAAGAGGCATCAAAAGAAGCAGTAGTGGTAGAAGAGGCATCAAAACAAGCAGCAGTAGAAGAGGCATCAAAAGCAAAAGCAGCAACAGTAATAGCAGTAGCAGGTTTTGAATTGTTGTTGTTAATGATAATAGTGTAGTTGCAGCGGCAGTAGTAATTGTTTTCCCTTTTTTTCTAAAAGTATTAGGTAACGGTAACAACGGGACGCCGAAGACAAGCACCAGAACAAAGACAACACGAAATGCACTCACGTGCGACAGGATAGGTAAATTCCAGGCTCCGGCGAGCATGGCCTCATTCTGGCAGGAAGTCGCCGAGCCGATGAACCCGACCACGCCATCGCGCCAGAGGTTGGACATGGCCATCAGAGAGTCGTTGGTTTGCATCCGGGTGTCCCGCATCACGTATGTCAGGTTAAATCCGGGAATGATCTTCTGTTCGTTGATCGTGCTCACGGCATAAGACAAGGCGCCGGAGACCAGCTTCCAGTCTCTAGACCCCGTGAAATGCCTGGCTCGATCTTCCACGAGATATCCGAGGGTTAAGGTCGATTGATTTACAGGTGGGACTGGGATAGAGAAGGCTGGATGTGGTTCGCTGGTTAGAAACGACGATAAGTACGAATGCAATGGCAAGTCAAATTCCAGGTGTGACTGCTCGCTTCTGCTTTCTTGGCGCACTGATGTATCCAACCAGACGTCGGTTAAATCCTTTTGGGAATTAATCAACAGTTTTGATGATGAAAAATAAGTATGTCTACCCCTGAATTCTGTGTTTGAAGATGACTGTAGCGATGACACTATCGTCACCATTATTCCTAGACTGTGCAACAAAAACAAAACATATTTCGTTTCCTTTTTTAGATTTCCCATGAAGTCTTTTATAATACTCGAGCCCATTGATATGTAGAAACGATGTTTATCGTATTTAAATATCAGGATTGCTTATTTTGATTCGTTTCCTCCTTTGGCAGTTTGCATTTTGAGGTTGTTCATTTTGTTTATGGATATGATTGTATTATAAATGAACAGACTATTGGCGGCGAACTTTCGTATAAATGTTGTTTCTTGTCCAAGTCATTATTACATGAAATAGACACGGTTTGAGATTGTTATGCTGATACGCAATGGCTGATAGAAACACTTCTGCTTAAGGGATGTGAACGCAGTTTCACAATCATTACATACCTGAGTTTAGTACTGGCTTGGCGTTGATAATAACAATGGTATGAGCGTCGTACAGTTCAAGAAGCATTGGCCAATAAAACCATACGAGGAATTGGTGGGGTTTGAACAGTCGTGTTAAGGTTATGCCACTATTTTAACCACTTTAGTTTGTCGTGTATGAAAATATACCTGCTTCTTCAGCGGGGCAATGTAGTCATGTCGGTGATGCGGGTTCCAATCTTGCTGTTGACACAACAGTTTTAGAATCTTATCCCTCGTCTAGTGAGTCTTCCGACTTCTCTGAGAGCCAGTCAATACCTCTGGAAGTATGTCTAAGACGAGTTCCCCAGTCTGATATTGCTCTGGCAATTGTTAAATCAGCTCGGATTTCAAGTTCACAGTAGCCAGGAAGTAGTCACGTCTACTTGATAGGCGTTGAGCGTAACCCTTTGCTGAAAGGGCAAAGAAATGCACACTTCTACAATCAATCAATAATTTCATTTTTCAGTCACATAATTCGTTGAATACTTCTAAATACACACAGAACAGTTTCCAGTCGTTTAAATCGTCGCACTATACAATCAGAATACAATAAGTATTTTAAGTTTTTAGTTTAAAAATTTTCTGCATTTTCAGGTGTATTGGACATATCGTCATTTGTCACATACCGCTCGTGTCACGTGCCTGTTTAAGGATTTATCCTTAAGAACCAACAGCACTCTGAAATAGTAAAATGTTAAGGTATCTGCTCGTATTGGTCTAAAGGGTATCCCATGGCCAATATATACCCAATCTATTTCAGGAGTAGGGCAACAAGCAATGGCACTACAGAATATATAATTTCCCTAGGCGCAACTTGGCTGGACGCCCCCACTGCTACAAGAAGATAGCTCCAGGCTATAATATTGTAATATCACAGCCATTTTAACACAGATTAAGATTACTGGTTACACATTCATATACTCTAGACAGTTCTGAACAGTGAATGGTGGACACTCAAGTCAATAATGAAATAATAAATGCAACATTTATCATATAAGACTCAAGCAAAGATATTCAAGAACACTTGGAATAATGAGAGATCAAAACCAAAGCACCATTGACGGATCCTCAAAGAGATTCCTAGAGACAGTCTGTGTTCATCATGGTGACTCAGAGTGGACCTGTAAATAGAGCACAAGGCATCACACCACAGAGTCTTGCTACTTATCTAGTCCCGGTTGGTGTCACTGCACTCGTCGGTTCATGATGACTTGGACAGGCTTTCTTTTGGAATTGTTCACCTCGATGGTTGCCAGGGTAAACACAGTCACAAACAGAGTTCAATCACTGGAGCCCAAACTAGCTCATGAAGAAGGTACTCTGATATTAATGACAAATGGGCGGCCTGTAAGCTGATGTCTACACTCTAGCTCCCGCTTTGCTTTCTGCCATGTTGATGGTGTGGTAGTTGGTAATTTTGTGGACTGCTGATTGACTGCCTGGCCTCCAAGGAGATATCATCCCAAGCTCAGGATTCCTCCAAAGAGTAAACTGGCACTTTGTTCAAGACAGAATTTAAGCACAAAGGCGAAACCATTCTGATCACTTGGAAGTCTGGCAGAGAATGAAGCGGGGGATATCTAGCATCGCTTTCGAAGAAAGAAGCTCCCAGATCAATACGCCAAGGGGTGAGAAGGCTTCTATGATTTTGAATATTAATATAGAAAATCTCTACCCCACAACTGTAAGTTTGACAATGTAGACTTCACAAGAGACCTAGAACATATAGAAATATATGTTTCCTCAGATAAAGGTATAAATAGATATGATGGACTATATATCCATCGGACGGGTCTATATTTGAAATGTGACCTGCCCGCTAGGGGCGTTAACGTCACGAATGGACTGATCATTTCACGACATTATTAATGAAATACTGTCTCCACAGTGAAGGTTGGTTGCAATGGATCTTTATCACGCCCTGTCTCTTGTCCTGGTTGTACACTGTCTCAGACTGATGCTCGTCCATCTCTTGCTGTTGTCCTCCCACTTGTATCTTTGCCCCAACTCTTGCTTTCGACCTTTCCATGCAGTACGGTTTTTAAAAGCGTGCCATGTCTTTTGATGTGGTCAAAGTATTTCTATTGTCTATTTTTCATTTTTTTTTTTTCCCAGTAATTCTCTTTACATTTGAAGCCTTTCCAGAACCCTTGTGCTGGACTCTGTTACTGCCTATATGGGGCTAGGCGTATATTTTATAGACCAATTAGCAGTTGGGGGGGGGGTGATCGACATCACGCTTGCGCCTTTAACTTGTACCTATTTAAAACTATGTCGACCTATAAGCCCAAAGCCATTTTTAAAAAAAATGAATGAGTACCAGGTTTTGCCGGGGAAAGGGAAGGCGGCCTGCGTGATGTTGACTAAATCAGCCACTGATTACCGATTGGTCTCTAACAGAAAGGTCTAGCCCTATATGCCTAATAGACCTGAAGGTGTGGAAAGGATACCTTTACTTTCACTTACAGTGTAACTGTAAGCAATAACTGCATGGGAAGTTAAGAGTTAAAGATACAATATCTGGGAATGAAATAGTTAACATAGAGAGGAGAACACAAACTGAAACAAAACAACGATAAACCCTACAAGAACACTTTACTTGATCCCGTCAAAGTCAGAAAAAAACTTTTGAGATTTGCCAGATCTTATATCAGAATTATACAGTCATATTTCTCTGTGCTTTCTGCGGGCAGGATCGATCCACTGAATTTTCTAAAGCTTCTAGGGGAGACCACTTGTCAATTCCTGGCCACAGTATGAACACGTGAATACAGACATGGCTGTCGTTGTACAGACATGACGAGATTGCTAATTTGATTATTGATTAATACCGGCTGTGATGTGCACATCCTGGGGAGTAGCGGGCGGAAAATCACACAAACAGGCACTGCAAATAGAAACATCTTTTGCTTCTTAGCGTTACCCGGCTGTAAACTACGGCGGGAAAATTGGCTGTTCATCCATTTCTGAACTTTGGTCTCTTCCCAGAACCTGACCATTGCATGAACACTGATTGTATAGATCTGGTTTATTTGTGTGCAAACTGTTGGTTCCTAGCCTCTCAGGCAGATGCACTCCGTCTTCTAAGTAAACAGCCCTGAAAAACCGACTTTTATTGTTAGGGGACCATTTGTCTATTTCTTTTCTTCTACCCTAAACAGAGTCCCAGAGCCCACAGGAAGAGAAAACAGAAACGAACCTTCAGTGTTGTTCGGCCATCTTATGAGAAGGAATGGACACCGAGAACTTGGTGACAACTGGCAAGATTGATGAAAACACAACAAGGGGAAGACAACTGGAGAAATATCTGGACGGTTTGGTAATGTGGATAGGGCGATACAAGAAAGCTGACACGATCCCTGATTTTGGTACTTGTGTGCGCTTATCGGTAGAGTACACGATAATGATGATGATGGTGATGATGGTGGTGGTGTCGAAGAGATTGCCCAAGAAAGACTTAAATGGGGGAACAGAAAGTCGCCACAGAATGTCCTAACTACGGTGGTAAGTTCTGTTCCAGAAACAGAAAAGGTTATTATACTGAAAAGGGTTCACACAAAGGTCTTCAAAACAAGAGCTCTGCGAATAACCGCTAGGCCAGTCGTATCTCAGAATATCTATGGAAAGAACACTGGTAGAAGATGCAGAGACAGAGAAGAGAAATGATGGTAGATAGCTTAGGACAGTGGCATGCAGGAATATCATCTGTAGAATTGTTCTAGAACACCAAAGACCGAGATCTGTTGAAATGCATGAACGCCTACAACAGGTGGCTGATACGTACGTACGTATGTGTGTGTATGCCTGCCTGCCTGCCTGTCTGCCTGCCTGCCTGCCTGCCTGCCTGCCTGCCTGCCTGCCTGTATGTATGTATGTATGTATGTATGTATGTATGTATGTATGTATGTATGTATGTATGTATGTATGTATGTATGTATGTATGTATGTATGTATGTATGTATGTATGTATGTATGTATGTATGTATGTATGTATGTATGTATGTATGTATGTATGTATGTATGTATGTATGTATGTATGTATGTATGTATGTATGTATGTATGTATGTATGTATGTATGTATGTATGTATGTATGTATGTATGTATGTATGTATGTATGTATGTATGTATGTATGTATGTATGTATGTATGTATGTATGTATGTATGTATGTATGTATGTATGTATGTATGTATGTATGTATGTATGTATGTATGTATGTATGTATGTATGTATGTATGTGTGTGTGTGTGTGTGTGTGTGTGTGTGTGTGTGTGTATGTGTGTATGTATGTATGTATGTATGTATGTATGTATGTATGTATGTATGTATGTATGTATGTATGTATGTATGTATGTATGTATGTATGTGTGTGTGTGTGTATGTGTGTATGTATGTATGTATGTATGTATGTGTGTGTGTGTGTGTGTGTGTAGGCAGGCAGGCAGGCAGGCAGGCAGGCAGGTAGGTAGGTAGGTAGGTAGGTAGGTAGGTAGGTAGGTAGGTAGGTTGGTAGGTAGGTAGGTAGGTAGGTAGGTAGGTAGGTAGGTAGTATGTATGTATGTATGGTATGGTATGTATGTATGTATGTATGTATGTATGTATGTATGTATGTATGTATGTATGTATGTATGTATGTATGTATGTATGTATGTATGTATGTATG